CGACCATTCACGAACTGGAGCAGATGCCATCAATTCAAACTCTATAAAACAGAAATTTCCACAGAAAATGAAAATGAAACTCTAAGAAAATGAAGAAGAAACCAAATTCGCGATAAACCCTAAACCCTTAAACCAAATAACATAATCCATGCATTTACGCTAGAAGCGAAATTCAGGAGAAATGAGAAGATGGAAATAGAAAAATTCAGGAGAAATAGTGGTTTTACCAACCTCTTTGCGGCGACCACCGGTGGAAGAAGCAGATGAGGGAAGAAAGCGGTTTGGCGGTGGCTTTGGTAGAGGGGAAGTGGCGACGGCTTATCTTATCGGATTTTGTATAATTGTTTTTTCCGCCACCAGAGGAAACGGCTTTCTCATGGGCCTGCAAAATATCCGCCCCCAGTTAACCGACCTTTTCCCCTTTTCTCGATTTTTAAAGCCCAATTTAATCGTTTTATGGGCCGTGGGCTAGTGGTGTTTGTGACCCGTTTTATTGCGGGTCGGCGGGTGCCCAAACCCAAGTCCATGCTGACCTGTCGTACTTGAAGGGAGAGAAATAGCGGAATGCTGCAACGGGTCGTCGAATTGCGGGGGTGAGGGGAAGGCAGGAAGAGAAGCAAGAAGATGTCGGCTAGATTGCTGAAGAAAGTTTTGAAAGAACAAGAGCAACGGAGTCAGCAATTCATAGCTGAAGAAGAAGATGATGACGAGCAGCAGCTGAGCGGCGATGAATCGGAGTCTTCAGATTCGGGCACTCGTTCTTTGAAGAACCCGTTCGACCTGCTCAACGAGGACGATGAAGAGGACAACCCCGATCAGGTTCAGTTTCTAAATCTCCTAGCCTGAAATGGGTCTCCGTTTTTTCTTTCAATTCCTTTACCAATTTTTTCCCTTGTTTCATTGTCTTTGTTGTTGGAATTGATTGTTAGATGGAAAGGACTTTGTAGACATGTTTTGGGTAGGGATTTGGAACTTGTTTTGGATGGATAGGGCTTTCTCTTGACCAAGCTGTGACCTTTGTGCAATTCTCTTACATAGGTAGCAAGCCTAAGGTGTCATGATAATGTAAATTGGATAGTTCATGATTGGCTTTTGCTGCAGGTAGAGGAGCGTGAAGTTGCTGATGAGACCTCAGGTGGAAAACAACGAGTTCCTGTGATGAAAAATACTACTTCACAAGCTTCTGATAACAAATCAAAGAAAAAGAAGAAAAAGAAAAGCAAGGGTGGTTCTTTGAATTCGGATAAATCTGAAAAATCATTGGATGCTGCTTTAGAAATTTTATCTTTAGATGTAAGTTCGTCTGAGCCTCAGTCTGACCCTGTGAAAACCAAATCAGAAAATGCTAAAGTTTGTGACAATCTTGTCAAACGAACTGGCTACTCTATATTACAAGTGGATCCCAAACATCTTAACGCTGAAAATGAGCTGAAGAGAATTTTTGGTTCTAAGGTTGTGAAATCATTTGAGAAAAGCAATCAAAGCAGTGGTCAAAGACAGATACGTGGAGGAAGGCGTGGAAGTCATCACATTAGAAAGACTGTTCTGGTATCTCCATTAGACCATTGGCCTCGTTGGGATGGGTCTTTTTCTATGGAACTTTTGGAAACCAAGGATGGGTATAATTACTTCAGGTGTGGCACTCGATTCTCTCTGATAGTGTTAGGGCTAAGATTATTGTTTATTGCCTTACCGCATGCCCCCAGTTTTCTGGTCTTCATCAGGGGCTGGGTTCAGTGCAAGTTGCTGACTTGAGAAACTGTAATACTCTCCGTTTTTTTTTTTTTTCAATTACAGAAAGAACTTCTCTCCTTTTTTCTTTTTCTTTTTTTTCCCTATGATGATTTTATGTAGTTTAACTTGAGTCCTATTGTCAATGAGGTTTAACTTGAGTCCTATTGTCAATATGCTTATATATTGTAGATACATACACTCATCTTCCTATGGTCAAGCACAGAGAGCATTTGAAGCTGCACAGGCTATTCATGATCTGAATGGTGTAGCAAGTGTTCTGATGCATCATCCATATCACTTAGATTCACTTCTAACGATGGCAGATTATTTTAAATTTGTGGGAGAGCATCAGATGTCAGCAGATTCTATTGCAAAGTGTTTATATGCCTTGGAATGCGCATGGCATCCTATGTTCACCCCCTTTCAGGGTAACTGCCAGTTGAAGTACAGTCATGATGCAAACAAGCCATTGTTCAAAGCACTTTTCATTCACATGAAAAACATGGACAGACGTGGCTGTCATCGTTCTGCACTGGAGGTTTGCAAATTGTTGCTTTCACTCGATTTGGATGATCCAATGGGAGCTATGTTCTGCATTGACTACTTTGCTCTTAGAGCTGGGGAGTATGCATGGTTAGAACAATTTTCTGAAGAATATAAAAGTGACAACTCCTTATGGTTGTTCCCAAACTTCTCATATTCCCTTGCTGTTTGCCAGTTTTATCTTGAGAGAGAGGACTCCTCAGTTGATGCTTGTCAGGATACTTCAAAGGCTACTTCTGCTGATCTTATGAATCAGGCTTTGATGCTTCATCCTGCAGTCCTTAAGAAGCTCGTAAACAAGGTTCCCTTAAAAGATCAGGCATGGACAAATATACTCAAAAGTTCCTTTTTTCGCTCTGATCAAACCGGGGTTGCATCCTTGGATCACCTGATTAATATTTATGTAGAGAGAAATTATCTCATATGGAGGCTTCCAGATCTGCAAAGATTACTTCGTGATGGTGCACAGCTTGTCATTGAGTCACTGGAACACAATAGAAATGGTGCTAAAGATTGGGCTTGTGTGAGAAAAGAAGCATTCTCATCTGGGAAAAATGAGTAAGTATTTGTACTTAATTATTTTGTGTCTTTAGTTTGCTATGGATGGAGGAGCTCACTACTGTTGATTTTTGCCTATAGCACACATGTTTGCTACATTTGTCAATGATTACCAAACAATAAATTCATGTGTTGCGGGTATGTCTTGGGCAAAATATAGATAGTAAGCTAGGTAAATCTGAAATAGAATTGTGAAATCTGAATAAAGAAGTCTTTGGGTTTCCTAACTTGTTAGATTAGTTTAAGTTACAAATAATCTGCATATATTGGTGTCTGACAATTTAATTTATGCTTTTATGCAATGGCTAGGTATTCTCATTTGCTGGTTCAGGATTTTTCTGACACGGTACCAACCCTTCCACCTGATAACCTGCAAAACTTTATGGTTGACCCAAGGGCAGGTTTGCAGATTGGCAACTTGGTTCCTGATCCAGTTAATGCTGGCCATGCTCCACCACCAACGGACATTGCAAATCGCAATCCATTGGTTGTTTTGATTGAATCAATGCTACCATGGGTGAATTATGGTGATGCAGGAGATGTTGTGGGTATTGATGTAAATCAGCATAATGGACAAGCCCGAGATGATGAAAATGATTGAGCGTCTGTATTATGAAGGGTTGATAGAAAACTTTTTACAGCATTGTATCCAATTATTATAATGTTTCTGATATATACGTTCCCCTTGGAAATCAAATGACATTTCGGCAAAGAAAATAGCTCTTCCATGTATAAAGGGATGCCAAGACAAATCACAAATTTCATTCTTGGTTATCTTGAGAATTTTGTAGACATTGTCGAACATCATGTAGGAACTGATTCACTTTACATTTTTCATAGCACTTGGAATGATAGAGGGAACATTTCCATTTTGCTGGTATTGTTTCTTTTATCATAGCTTTCGTTCATGGTTTCTCGAACTTGCATGCTTAAAGAACTACATCGTAAACACCAAGGATCAGCTATCCATAAACCCTGTGAAACATGTTCCATATACCTAGTTTTAAGTAGATTTGCCCTGTTCATTATAACCACCGTTTGTAAGACGAGGAGCAGACGGTAACTGAGGGTCATCAGCCGCAGATTTGTTCTCATCCTTGACTGCCAAGATAACCAGAACTGCCAACAATGGGTAGCTAACCGAGGTGGGGCGACCAATTCACAATCAACTGGTTGAGCAATGGCACCTTGTTTTTATGAACTTGCCAGGAAACTTCCGATCCTGCACTCTGCACTCCTTTGTAGAAACCTGTATGTCTGCTAAGGGTCTCGGAATCTTCGGCCAGTGCTCCATTCACCCAATATACAAGGCTCTGAAACATAGAATCCAGTAATCCGTGGGAGAAATGCAAGACAAATGGTCCGGCAAAAGCACCTTCGGAGGTCTTAAAGTCCAGCTGGTCTGGCAGTTCATGGTAGGAGTAATTCAACTGGTTGGCAAGGCCACCACCCCAAATTGCAGTTCCGAGCAGAGCAACAGTGCTGATCCCGACCAACTCCCTCCTCCTGCTCTCAAAACTGAATTCCAGAACTTGTCCAAGTCCGATTGAACCAATTATCTGTGCACCCCAATCTAACACATTGTTCAGTCCTCTGGTCCTCAGATTGAACATCAAGCCATTGACGTCGTTGAAATGGTAGCTGTAGAAGAAATTGCTGGCCCAGCCAGCCGGAGAAGCATCTTCCAAGAGCCTCAAGATCTCTACAGCTTCAGCAGAGACACTTGAGTATTTGATGTTGGTGCAGCGACTTTCATCATTCCTAAAGACGCGGCTGGGATGCAGGATGGAAAAGAAAGGAAAGCGCCGGTAGACATGAAGCACATGAGCTGTTTCCGCTTTTGTACGATGGTAGTTGAGGACGAACGGTGTGAGTCTGCCAATCTCACCTCCCAGATTGAAGATAGTCCAAAACAAGGAGATGTAGCTACCTTTTCGGGCAGTTGAGAGGTAGGAGGTCATGATGGCGCCTTCTCCGGCCCAAAGAAGTCCTGCACCGATGCCGAGAATGGGACCAGCAACAATGGTGAAGGCCTGGTTGTGGTAGTGATCGCAGTGGAGGAAAAAACCAGCGTAGAGAACGTAAGTGGAACAGCCTAATGCTAGGGTGATCCGTGGACCAAAGATGTTGTAGACACCACCATCGAGGACCCCGAACATGGAGAAGGTGACAGAGGGCGGTGTTGGCATTGTTGACCGCAGTTGGGTCAACTTGGCTGCCAACTCCCATGCCTGAGAGCGCATTGAACATGCCTGGACAACAGAAGCATACTAGACCTATCAGGATAACCTGAACCAGGGGTGAGTTATACCTGAAAAGGGAAGAACCGCAAGGTACTCCATCAGCCGTCACCCTTGCCTCCTTATCGCCTTCAAATCCCATGATTGAATTCCCTTCTAATCCAAAAGGGTACCTCCAAGAATTATATATAAGATCAAAGATTGGATCTTTCCAAAAGAGTACAGCATTGGCATCTGCGCGGGCTTTTGGATGCACATTCTTATTGGTTTTTCAAAGAGGGTTAGCCATTCGATAGCAACTAGGGTTCTTGTCAATGTTCTTGCTTTCTAGGGCACAGAGAATAAAAACAGAAAGAAGTTCAAAGAAATAGAAGGAACATTCTATGTTTTCTCACTGATCAATACTAGGGATCAGAGTGAAGGGAACTGAAGAAGACAGAAGAAATTGATAACTCTCAACGACATAAAGTCAGAAACCATCAAAGACGCTAATTGTGACAACGACAACAATAATAGACATTAAACTTGCTTGTTGACTCTGCTGCTAACTCATACTTGCCAAATCAGTCATTCACATGCTATTGTTACATCAGATGCTGGCGTTTCAAGTTTCTGAATTAACATCAAAACATACCATCAGCATGCTTATGGTGGAAGAAACTTGGGACTTATGAGGCAATCAAACTTTTGTCAACGAAATCAACTTTATATTTTGTTTGTAGAGATAAGCAGCCTTTTAGAGATTGTTTCGATTAAGATATCAGTTGCATGATAATTTGTGAATCCAATGAGCATCCCAGAACAACTCAATGATCAAGATGTATGTAGCATTTGGTGTGAGATCATTGTTTCCGACAAATTGTCATGCCATCTCCAATGGGTACCTAGCATTAAAAAATAGTTCGGTGAGTGAATCAACTTAAATGATATACTAACACATACAAATGGTTAAAATACCTACCATACTGATGCTAACACGCTTGTCCTCCATTAGATTTTTATTGAAATTCCTGATACTAATAGTTTTTGCATCATTTACCTGTCAAAAGGCAGCATTAGAGTTTAAGAACCATTTGAAATGGGCAAATTTTACTAATTGTAGCTAGTTATTTACCATAGGATCAACAACTTTTCCATGCCAGAGGACATTGTCAATCACAATGACTCCACCCACCCTAACCTGCAAAAAGTGGCATCTTTTAAAACCACTGGCAGTTAAGTGTCAAAAGTTTCTAACTAAGGAATGGAAATTTCAAAATCATGGATGTTACCAGTTGTAGTAGCAATTCGTAGTATTCTTGACACATCTTCTTTTCAGCATCAACAAACGCAAAATCATAGCTGCTTAATTAGGAAACAGAAACACATAAGTTACTTCAAACCCTCAGCTATTAAAATTACTATATATATACAGATATGAGGTTGTCTTGCCGGGAAAGCAAAAAGGAAGATTCCAACGCAACAATTGTGTGATCTCCATAGGCAAATTGTTTTCTCAGAAAATGCAATTCATACACAAGAATTGAAACCACTTACTGCATTCACCTGCCAGCTTCACCATTCAGAATCATAGATTTTAAGGCATCTGCAGCTAGTCCGTGCTTTAGAATTACCTGGCATTAATGAACTTTTAGTGCCACGCTGATACTACTTAAACATGTATCGGTTGCACAGACATGTATGACAAACTATGGTGTTATTCTACAATCTACAATTGTCAAAACAGTAGATATAGGAAAAAGAAATGACTTATTGTTAAAACTTTGACAGATCTGGGCAAAATAAGCAGCTCATAATGCTAAAATAGAAAATGGAAAAAAAATTTTTTTTTTGATTGGCAGAAAATGGAGAAAAAAAAAAGTGATGCATTTCATGTATCTCTTGCAAGCTCTTACCTTGTGTGAAACACCAGCTAGCTCATAATACTTTTTTGCAACCTCAAGAGACTTGGCATCTCTCTCACAGGCAACTAAACACCCTAAGTCCGGTAGGACCAATGCGACAGCCAACGATGAGTATCCCTGAAAGAAAAATAATGATCTAAATTAGCATCCAAAACTTAAGCAGTCATCCACCTGAAAAAGGAAAACACCTGCTTCTTGCAGGAACAAGAAAGCAAGACAGCACAGAACATGTTTCAATTAACTGAAATCAGATTGAAAATCTAGAAAACATCCTAAGGAGGCATAAATTGCAGATTATGGTCTCATTTGTGACCTCAAAACACCCAGCCAGCTACAATAGATAATGCTTGTATAGCACTTGTACTCTAGATATACTTTTAATTATCGAAAGGAAAAAAACTATCTATTAATAGGCTTCACTTACTACTAATCACAAATATCTAAAAACATCTATTCATTCATCAATTATACGAAAATGGCTGTTAATGTACAAAGATCAACCATGGCATTTTTTAAGTCGAATTGAGTCGGAAGAAAAAGCAGTAGATGGTTGATTCATGGAATGAGAAGAGAGACACATACAGTGTAAACACCAACTTCAATACATCTTTCTGCCCCGAGAATCTGCACTAGCATCGCCAGCAGTTGTGCTTGATCAGGCGATACCTATCAACAGGTAATAATAAAAAAACACTAGCAACTTATTCCTTTACAAATCAGAAACAATAAAGAAAGCTCTGAAATTGGCACCTGCATTTGGCTTCCGCGCATGTTGGCAGTCTCCTCCCGGAGTCGCCGGAGAATCTGAACCAGAAACTCTATACAGTCACGCAACTAGTCCCAAATAAATCTAAAAGACTGGAATTTTAAATGAAGGGAAAAAGGTTAAAATTTTCGGGAGTACCTGAGGCTCGCGAACGTTGGCGAGGATGTAGTCGTAGAGGCGAGGGGTAATGCTGATGACCTGCTTGTTGCCGTACTTTTCATCGCCAGCAACGACGACTGCGGGGTTTGCAGAGGAGCAGTTCCTTATCAGATGATTAAACCGGCATCTAAGTTTACATGCCCTAGAGTCAGCTCTTGAAGATAACGAATGGAATTTCCGTCGTGAAAGCTCA